TCAATTAGCTCAGTAGAGTAGCTCCATGTGCACGCCAGTGATTGGAAACATTTCCATGGAGTATTGTGTATATTATCCTGCTCTTTTGCATTACATTTAAACAATAAAATGCAAAAGAGCGGGTTGATGAATTGTGATAACCACAGGTTTTAGTGTTCTGTTCTGATTCCAGAAAAACATACACATTTCTGTTTTACAATTGTGTGCATACATGTGCATGGGCATGTGTGTGTCTCTGCATATTATAAACATATGTACAATGTCTCACTACATGAAAGAAAAATTCCAGCTGAGATTTCATGTTGCTGGACAGTAGAAAATCTCAGCCCCCAGGTGATAGACATTCTCCCTATCTAGTTGTGTTCCTCTTCTCACCTTTTTGGATTTGTGCAGTAATTGTGTATAGTAGAGTCTTATTGCTGTATAGAAATAATACCAACAGTCTAGCTAAAAATGTATGTATTGCATAAGAATGCATGCATATCTCAGAAGGTGATAAATACTTTGACTTTTCTCTCCGGTCTGCATCCCTTTTTTGTTGTTATTGCTAAACGCACAAATGTAAGTCAAATTCACAAATACCAACCCCAAAGTCACATCCAATACAGGATAGGCTATTAATAATGGCATCAACAATACATTATGCTGGGAAACACAGACAAAGGTTCCTCTGCATGGCTCATATCTCTACAGTGCCACGAGGAAACCTCTTGGTCCCTTTCTTATTGTACAGGCATAACCAGACCCTGTTGGGGAAGAGAGCACTCATTGTGCCTCCCGGTGCTTTGCAGCTCTCTGAATGTGATGCAAATAGCAGACCCAATTCTGACCTCACATGCATTAGCTGACTTCTAAGTTTACGACTTATACAGATCAATATTGCAACATGCTTTTTTTTTAACGATGCAAAGCTAAATTTTACAAAATTCTGAGCACAGTTGCCTATCATAATAATCAAAGGCTCAGCATCTTGCAGGATCACACCAAAGTCCACTGTATGCCATTTTGTTGTAAAGAAGATTGTTTGGGATCAAAGAGTCTGCTGCTTTAACTATTGAAACAGATAGGAAGAAAAATGAATGATCAGAAGTAATTGCAATTTGCAAAGTAAATTACACCATTAACTACTCCAGAAATCAATAATCAGGCACAAAAAGAAAATCAGTTGAGGGGATGATAGAAGAAAAAATAAATCTCTTGGGCATCTTGCCACTCTGGGGATTTTAATTTTGAGTTTTCCACTCCCAGCTATCCACTCTTATTGCCCATCCATCAACCTCCTGATGAATATAAAGGACTCCAGTATGAAATGCCAGAAGATTGCTGGGTTGGTAGAACAATGGAAAGAGAGTCTTTCAGGTTTAGAGGAGGAAGGGTAAATTGCAGATGACAGTTTAGAAGAGCTTGTCTCTGCTCTTGTTTTTTTCCCCTAACATCTCTTTTTAGTAGCATTGGCAGTCTAAAAACCATTTCAGAGGTAGCCAAAATCATATTCATGGCCAAATCACCTGGAAATCTCCTCCTGATTGACTCTAACAACTGACATAATTTTTAATGGAAGTGCAACATGATTTATGCCTTTGCTTATTGGTATAGTTTTAAGCAGGGACAAAGTGGTTGTTTAATTTAACTCCCATGTAAGAGGCATTTATCTTCCACCCCTTTGTATGTACTATTTACATCTTCATAAGAATGCCAACACTGTAGCCTTCACTATTAGCAATACTCCTTGATTTAATAGCACTTATGAATATCTCTATTTTGGGGGATTTATTAATGAACATTGTGAATTCTTCTGTGTGTCTGCTTATGACAGGTTGTCTGCTATGGATTTTGATCAGAAGGGAGTTAAGGGGGGGGTCAAGCAGAAAGCCTACACAAAAAACATTGCAACTGCTGATCTGGTTATATAGGTAGTTGCAGAAGCCAAGACCTGTACATCAAAAGAGGGTGATGAGTTAAAATGCCCATCCTACAGGAAGGGAGAGGTGGGGTGTGTAGGGAGAAAAGGTTTTTTTCAGCAAGTCCAGATGACCCAGGCTGAGCTGGACTGTAAGCAGACACTGTCATGGTCTCCAGGGGCACTGGATGTCCAGGCTCCTGTGAAGAAAGCTGGTGGAAGTGCTGTGTAAAAAACCTCATTGTTTTAAACCCTGAAATGCAGTGCACTTACTGGCAAATTGAGGCTACGTATGGAGGAGGCATTTACTGGTTGGTGCAAGCGCTGCTCAATTGTACCTCCATGGCACTGTGGTTCTTGCTGGCCTTGCTAGAAACTGTCTGAATCACAGCTCCTCCTGCAAAGGAAAGCACGGGCCTGCCACTTGGAAGGGGTGACAGATCAGAAAAAGGATCTCAGTGGGTGCAGCTTTACCCAGAGGCTGTGACGGTGACACTAGGTACAGCTCTTGCAGTTCTGTATCATCGCCAGCGCAAGAGCAATCAACCGGTCAGGCACCACTGGGGCTGGAGAATTGCTTACATCCCGATCCAAAAACACTCCCAAGGTGGGCTGTGCACTTCCCCATGCATCACGACAGTTTTGTATTCGCCACCTTGGATCATGGGGTGGGAAGGAGGACAGAGAAGACAAAGAGAGAAGCAGGCTTGCAGCCACATAGGAAAGGAGAGGAGAAACCTGCAAGAACAATCTTTTATACTTGCAATGAATGGTTTAGTCTTTGGAATAAACAAGGGCCCTTACGAGTATCTTTTATGGTCAATTACTGCTATTTATGTTGGCAATTATCAAGTGTCATATATGATTATTTTATGTCCTTAAACTTGGTCAGTTGAATGTGTAATCTTTAGCTCCCTAAGTGTTTAAGACTTATTTTTACATATAGAGTTACGTTTTTATATCTGTGGTAATTCACCAGTCAAAACATGATATGCATAACTTGGGTACCAATCTTTCCATTTTAATTTCTCCCCCCCAACTAACCAGTCATGTTTGACTGATCTTTTCAGATTAAAAACTAAAAGGAAGAGATATGCAGAATTTATTTGCAAATTCTCCTTGTTGAGCTCTGTCACTTTAGTGACAGCCCTCTCTGAATTTCCCCCCCACCCCCTTCAGATATGAAAAGTGGCTGTAACCCTTTCAAGGCTGGACACATTTTCTTTGGCTCATTTTCCTGTTTACCTTCATGTTCAGAAGCTGATCTTCAAAAGGTATTATTAATCGTGATAAAATCTAATCTAGAAAGTTTCCAACTGCACACACACACAAAGATGGCTTAAATCACTGAATAAGAGATAATACTCTGCAGAAGGACTTCCTACCTTCCAAAGGGCAGGTAAAAGCTTCCAAAAAATCAACAAAACAATTTTTTCCTCATGTACACTGAAGCTAATTTTTCTTCCATGAGCATGAAAATCTCAATTTTATGAAAGAATCCAGTGGGCAACTTCCATCACTATAAACACAGATGGTCTTCAGTTATGCTGACGAAAACAAGTTTCTGGGAGAGCTTACTTAACGCTGGCTGTACGAGCTTCTACCAAAACTGTTGCAGGATGTGGTTCTTTCCAGGACCTACTACATGACACATGTGCCAGACTTGAGATTTTAGCAAACTGGGTGAACAGAACTAAAATAGGATAACAGGAATGGTTTAGGATAGCAGTAAAGGTGTTACCACCATGTCACCATGGTACCTTTGAGCCATCTATACTGATATGAATTTTTTTTTCCCCCTTTTATAATATGATTTAATTTGTAGCATTGAATCCACTTACCTGCTGCTGCGAGTGCATGTTGTTCCTTGACCATACCACTGGTATCCAGTTGAAATGCTAACCTTTACATACATGGTTAAACCAGTGTTTACAAAGGTACAGTGTAACAAAGCCTTAATTCTCAAGTTGACTGAAATTTGAAACACTTTAAAATAATAATAATAATAAAAAAGTTAAAATATAAGCAAGAGCAAAACAGATGCAGATAGGACTGAGCAGAAGTGGTATGGATGTCAGCACAGCTTTCAAACACTCCTTTGTTTGGCATATGCCTTTTTCCATGTTACTCCTATGCACTGTAGCTGGTAAAGGGTTGCCCTTTCTCACAGAGTATTTTTTCCTGGGCTAACCCTTTGAATTTAGCACTGCAGGCATAAGGAGCCATTTTGTGCCTGGCAACTGCAGAACTTGTTCCCCTGTGTGCCAGTGGATATGTTCTTACATGGTTTTCTCCAGATTTTCCCTATTTTAGTGCTGAGGCTACAACACAGGTGCGAAATGGACATGCATGTTATGCTGTACATCTTTAAGGCTCTGTATGAACATTAGCTAATTAGTCAGTAAGGAAAAGAGCTGCGAGAAGGCTGTTTCAAATGGCAGAAGCTGCAGGGGAAACAGCTCGAACACCAACTGCAGGTCTGAATGCATAAGGGCCTGGAGAATGGGGAGAGAAGCAAACAGGCTGAAAGGCTGGTGCAAGCCTGCAAGAGGGCTTCAAGAATACAAAGAAACTTAACACGTTAAGACTGGCAGCAGCTCACGTAGGTACAATGGTTATACTAAGGATGGACTGTCAATCTCGACTGTTAGCCTTTAGCATGGAGAGGAGATTATATTATAACATAAATGCTACCCGAGCTTTAATTAGAGCAAATCAATGCTTTGACATACCATTTCACTTCAGGAAATCAAAGGTACCATGGCAAAAAGAAGTTTCTACATTTCCTTTAACTTTTCTCCAGACTACTGAGACCTCCAGTGCATAACTTCTGAGCCCTTTGGTTCCCCATTCTTAGTTTCCTTGGAAAAGCTAGATGTTTTTCCTTTGGAACCAAGGATAATTTGGTAACTAAAACACTGGTCTAGCACTCAAGGTCCCAGGTTATGCTCCCAGCTGACATACGAGCTGCACTGACAACCCAGCACCAGTCCTTGCCCTGTTCTGACTATTACATTTGCTCAGGCTCTGATTTTTGTGGTGGTCTCGGGGAGAAAGTCTGCAAGAGTACAGCATGAATGAGCATTCTCGGCAACACGCATGAGGATAAAACTGTTTATTAAGAGGGTAAACATGGTTGGTATGTTAGGACCTTGCTTTAAAAATCAGGCTTATCATAGCTGGAGTGAGGAACTGAGAGTGTGCTTGATGCCAGTCACCCAGCATCAGTGTGGCTTGACAGACCACGATAGGTTTGTGTCTATCTGAAAGTAAGAGATTTATTATTTTCCCAATGTGTAACACAGCCATTGCAATGGAGGCTTACGCACATCCCAATGTCATGAAAACCACCTCAGTTAGGGATGACTAAATACAACGCCTCAAGGGCCCAACTAGAGACTGAGATGGACCCATCAGCCTTGGCACAACTTTTCTTTTTTTCCTGCCAATGAAAGAGCAGTGCTGAAAGCCCTTTCCTATGGGGTGAAGAGAGCAATGAGATACAAACATAATCCTCTAAGTGTGTTCAACTGCCTTCCTGGGTCTTGAGGGGAAGCCCTTAGCTGAGGGAACTGGCTAGCTCGTGTCAGTGCCAGATAAAGTATTTTTTTAAGAGAGAGCATTAGAGGAAAGAAAAAAGAACGAAAGGGAAAAAAAAAAAAAGGGGGGGAGGGATATGGATATGGAAGCTTTATCGGGAGTTTTCTGGGGAGATAAGGAGCTGGGCTGGCCCATCTCTACGCAGCATGGACACACTTACTGCCTTTGAGTCTCTCAGGAAAGAGTAAAAGGAGCTGCTGACATTTCTGCTTAAAAGGAGGAATCAATGAATCTTTGTTTCCCACTGCCTGCTTGTTTGACCTTATTGTGTTGCGGAATAGAAAAGAAAGAAAAGAGAACGGGTGAAGGGAGAGGGGATTTGTGCCAATAAAATCCAAGACAAGATCACAGCGCTCTGATCATCGCTGGAGATGCTATTATTTGGTTGTTGTCCTATTTGCTGCTGTTGCTCATTTCCGATTCTTGCCTTGCTGTAATAAGTCACACTCTTTCCAGCCATCATCCCTGTATTGACAGGCAAATGTCACCCACGTTTGATTGACGTCCATTGCTCCTGAATACAGAAGTATGATTTAGGAATCAATTCTGTTTGTTTATTTAAACAGCTCTTTGTGTACCTTGTATATCTATCTGTAAGCAGGACAAGTTCCTTAATATTTTCTTGGAAGAAATGCCACTAATGCTGCACATTCACCTTCCGACTCAGTCACAGAGGTGCCCACCAGCCCTTTGGGAAGGAGAAACCTTTCACACAGAAACAACACAAGAAAACAACGACAACAACAACAACAATAAAACAACTACAACAAAAAAACCCCCAACATTTAACAAGACACCTTGCTGTGAGTTAAGCCAGAGAGACCTTTTTCTCAGATTCAGGCATCTGTTGATCTGCATATGCCCCACACTTTCCTTTGGCTTCTAAACAAAAGGGAACTCTTTCCTTCGGTGTCAGTTTGCTAGCAAAGCGGTGGCTGGCTTTAACACCGGGAAACACTGCAGCCTGTGATGAGTATGTCAATTTTAATTCACAGAAAGAACTGTTTCCTTCTCTGCCTTTACGGTTGTAATCAGGGAGAGGGGCAAAGGGAGATCCGAAATTGTGAGAGATGCTAATCTCTATTACTGTGTGAGGTATATTTTCAAATAACTTCCACTTGGACAATCGGTAACTGCAAAGCATCCCTACATTTAAAGCGATAGTTCCCAGAAAACACTAATATGGCAGGATAGCCTCAGAGGAGCGTTAAGCAGGAGGTGGATTGACCTTTTAATTCTCGATCGGTGACCTGAAGGGTACCCAGAGGCTGCTAAGCACATCTCTTCCTTTTGGTTTGCTCCAGAAAGAGCTGTCATCGCAAGATGCAGCTAGTGAGTGAGGCTCACGATTTCACTGTTCATCCGTTTGCGGGAGGGGTGGGGGAGGGAGAGAGGAAAAAAAATATATATTTCCCACACTGCCAGAGTAATGCCAAACTCTCTGTGAGTGGGAAGAGCAGAGCAGATGCTGGAATGAGATGCCAAAGCAGCTCCCCTTTCCCCTGCGCTTTTGGGTGCCTATAAATTGCTCCAGCGCGCTCGTCAGCCTCCTCCTCTCCTGGCAGGTGGCACCCGGGCAGGATCCCGTTCTCCCTTCGGCTCCGGCTCCGGCTCCGGCTCCGGCTCCGGCTCCAGCGCGGCGCGGCGGCGCGGGCTCTTAGCGGCGGGCACCGGGGCGGTTGCGGAGCGGCCGGGAGGCGCGTCCCCTCTGAGGACTGTCGTCTTTGAGAAAGAAAAAAAAAAAAAAAAAAAAAAAAGAAAGAAAAAAGAAAAAAAAAAAAAAAGAAAAAAGAGAGAGAGCGAGTGAGGAGGCGAGCGGGGCGATCGCGAGAGGAAAGGCAAGTTCCAGGGAAAGTTGACTCGGACTGGCACAGCCTGCAAAAAAAAAAAGTCGATCGCCAGCGGGAGCATAAAAGTGCGGGCGGCCGGGGCGCGGCGGCAGCTCTCCCTCGCCCTCCCGGCCGGCCGGCGGCTGCAGCGGCCGCAGCGGAGCGCCGCGACCCGCGGGAGCCCCCGCCGCCACCGGCAGCGGGAGGGCGGCCAAGGCCCGGGGGAGCCGAGCTCGGGCGGGCTCGGCGGTTTTTCGGCTCTGAGGAGGTCCCCGACCAACCATCAAGATTTTGTCCAAAAGCAGGCAAGAGGATCGCCCTGCGCTGAGCCGGCTGGTGGGCAGCAGGCGGCGGCTGATCGCGGCCGGCGCGCTGGGGGTGGTGATGGTGCTGCTGCTGGTCATCCTCATCCCGGTGCTGGTCAGCTCGGCCGGCACCTCGGCGCACTACGAGATGCTGGGCACCTGCCGCATGGTCTGCGACCCCTACGGCGGCACCAAGGCGCCCAGCACGGCGGCCACGCCCGACCGCGGCCTCATGCAGTCCCTGCCCACCTTCATCCAGGGGCCCAAGGGGGAGGCCGGCCGGCCGGGCAAAGCGGGGCCCCGCGGACCGCCGGGGGAGCCGGGCCCGCCCGGCCCGGTGGGGCCGCCGGGTGAGAAGGGCGAGCCGGGGCGGCAGGGCCTGCCGGGCCCCCCCGGGGCGCCGGGGCTGAACGCGGCGGGGGCCATCAGCGCCGCCACCTACAGCACCGTCCCCAAGATCGCCTTCTACGCCGGCCTCAAGCGGCAGCACGAGGGCTACGAGGTGCTCAAGTTCGACGACGTCGTCACCAACCTGGGCAACCACTACGACCCCACCACCGGCAAGTTCACCTGCTCCATCCCCGGCATCTACTTCTTCACCTACCATGTGCTCATGCGGGGCGGCGACGGCACCAGCATGTGGGCCGACCTCTGCAAGAACAACCAGGTGGGCGCCGCGCCGGGGGGAGCCGGGGAGGTGGGGGCGGCGGGCGCCGTGAGGCCGGCGGGCGCCCGGGGGGGAGCGGGGCTTCCTGAGGGGAGCGGGCGCCGGGGGGCGCCGGGCTCCCTGAGGAGGGAGCGAGCGCCTTGAAGGAGGTCGGCGCCCGGACGGAGCGGCGCTCCCTGAGGGAGCGGGCGGAGCGGAGCGGCTCGGGAAGGGCGGGAAGCGGGCGGACGACGGGGCGGGGGGAGCCGGGCGGCCGCTGGAGGCGGCGCGGGGGCGTGGGGCCCGAGCCCGGGCGGCGCGCAGGCAGGGCGAGCTGCCGGGGGCGCTGAGGGGGGCCGGTGCCTGCCGCTCTGCAGCCGGCGGGGACCTTGCGGGCGGCCCCGCTCCGCCTCGGGTGCCCGAGGACCCCTGAGGGGCCGGGGGTTCCGCGCAGAGCCGTGGCCGCCCCGGGCCGCCGGGAGAATGCGAACTCAACGCACTCCTTTCCCCGCGAGCCACGCCGCTGGCGCCCGTTCCCAGCCCGCTGTCCGGGCCGGCCGGCGGGGAGAGCGGCACCTGGCCGGAGCCCGGCCCCGCGGCCGCCGGCGGCTGCCGTCCCGGCCGGTGTCGGCCAGCCTGCGGCCGCGGATCGCTGCCCACAGCTCGGCCGGGACGGGAGCGGTGGGGAGGTGGGGGCGGTCGCGCAGGCAGGGCTGCCCCCGCGGAGGGGCGAGCGGAGCCCGGTCCGGGGCCGAGCGTTCCCCCAGGGAAGGGAAACTCCCCGGGAAGGAAGGAGAGCCGGGGGTGGCGGGTGAGCTCAGGTGAGGGCGGTCCTGCGCGGGGCGAAGGGCGAGATGCGGGGGAAGGAAAGCAGCCACGGCACGGGACGGGGCTCCCACGCAACGGGGCGCCGATTTTGACACGCTCAGCCCCCGGCGGGGAGCGAGGTTTCCCTCTGCCAGGGAAAGCCGGTAACCGTGTGAGCTCGGCGTCCGCAGCCCTCGCCCCGTGGCGGGCCAGCGCCGGGGAAGGCGCCAGCGGCGGGGTCGCACGCCGGGCGAGCGCGGGCACGGCCCCAGGTCTGCCGGCACCCCCGCGGGAGGATGGGAACGTTCAAAACAGTTAAAGATCTTGCCGTGTTGCCGTCTGAAAGACAGAGGAATCACCCGTTTTAATTAGGATTCACGTTGCCAGCGCGCTCGCAGCGGCGGTGCCTCTACCATTGCCCCGGGGGGAGCTGTTCTCCGCGATTTCGCGCCTCTTCCCCACGTAGTTATCTGTTGGTTCTAATTACGACAGCGTTTAGCGATACCGCCAGGGTGTCCGCCGCCCCTCCCGCTCCGGTTGCCCCGGGGACAGTGCGCTGTGCCCGGGCTTTCCCCCGTTCCCGGGAGCCCCGCGGTGCTCCCTCCGGCCCCCCACGCGGCAGGAGGGCGCGGGACCAGCCGCTCAACAGGTCGTTCCCCGCCCGAGCCGTCCCGGCGGGCAGGCGGCTCCAGGGCCGGGCTGCCGGCTTGCCCGGCCTCGGGGAGCCAGAGCCCAGCGCTGCCGCTCTCCCCGCGCTGCTCACCCTCCGGCGGGGTTTGATCCGCTCCTCGCGGTGCCCCCGAGGCCTGAACGCGGGACTCGGTGTCCCCGCCGTGCCGGGCGGGTCGCTGAGGGGCCCGTTCGTTTGCGTGTCTCCTCCCCCGGGCAGCGCCGGCAGCTCGGCCGGGCCGGGAGCCGCTCCGCGCAGGCGGGAGCATCGGCGGGCACTCAATTAATCTGCTATGCCACTTCACCTTTCGTTTATGGCCCCTCGGAAGTACTGTGAAAACAGAATAATGAGGACATCAGCAGCAATTAATTAAATTGGAAAATGCCTACCATAAATACTACCTCAGCACATAAACCTAATAAAAAAGTACATTGTAATATAGTCACTTTGTTTTCTTCATACAAAGGCAATATTGTCGACTGCGAGAATATCATTTTACTTGAAATTAAAACATTAATCAATTTTTGACCTCTATTTACAATGTTTTGAAGTGTTTATTTTCCCAAACCCTGGAAAATAAATACATACCACTACTTTTCAAAAAGTAACCAATTATAAATATTAAATTGAGCCTGAAGTCTGTTTCCAAATACAACTACTTCCAGTACCAGACATGAGACAAATTAAATTCGCAGTGATTCAAATAAAAAAAAAAAAAAGGCGGGGGTTCTATGTATATATTTGCATATAGCTATGCAAAGATAAGTATTTAAGTAAATATCTGCATACAAATTGTTTAAAATTAACACACAGTTTTAATGCAACAGTGTTTCCTTTTTAATTACGATTTATACTTGAAACACTAAATGCTGATGTGAAGTGATAGCAGTTAATTTTGTCTTATTTGAAAGAAATTTTGGAAGCTGTTAAATGGAGTCTGGCAAAGAGAACATTATAAATTCAGTGTTTTCTAACAATGAAAAAACCCAGACTGCTGGAAAGCGTATGACTTGCAGAAAAAAATAATTCCTGAGCAGTGCACAGGAGGAACCTCAGGGTCTCCACTGTTAACATGTTACCTTCTTTAACGGTTATAAAGCTTGAACAGGGAAGCGCTGAGGTCACATAGCTTAGCTCTGTGTGTGTGTGTGCAACCTGAGAGCGTAACTTCACGAAAGATGAGTTGAGCAGTCATGCAACTTATGAAATGTATAGTCCGTTAATGGTTTAATTTTGAGATACATTTACCCTCTTGCAGCAGTACACTGAGAATTCATCTGAGACTGTTCTCCCAGGCTTTAAAAATAAATAGCTCTGCTTAACCAAACAAGGAGATAAAATCTCAAAGAATAGCACACTGGAGTCTACAGGACATTTGTTTATACATAGGGCAGTAAGATCTACACTTTGGTTTCTAGACCTTCAATACACAGGCTCTTTTCTTCTCCAGCCAGTATGAACTATCTAGAATCTTAAAAATGAAATATCCATTGCTGTTGTAGTCAGTATCCATATGCTGACACTCCTAGAATAGTCACTAATATAATTTGAATTCTCCTTTACTACCCACAGAAGAAACCTGCATTTTAGACAAATCCACAAAGTAGCATTTCATTAAGAGGTAAATAGAAATTTAGAAAGTAGTTTAAACGGTTTTGTTTGCCAGTATGCAAGATATTAGTTCTCTGTGAAAGTTTTTCTACCTCATCTATAGCCTTTTTGCTCCTTCCCATTTGCCCTTTCTGTTTACACTACCAGCAGCAGTCTCAGCCCATTGTTTCCTTTGGAGGGTATTTCCAGGGCTAATGGTTCAGAGCCTTCAACTCCACCCTGCTAGTCATTAATCCAGAGGAAATACTCTCTGCTTAGAATAACTATTGCTTAAACACTAGCAAAACAGATCACCTCTGTAAACGCCACCAGGCAATTCAGGATCAAGAAGTCTTGAAATAGGTGTGGTTTATCATCATGCCATGTATTAGTTTAAATTTGCAGGCTGTCACGCCCCTAAAAGTCTTTTAAGCCTTTCTCACTCTTCTCATAGGATGTCTAAAGAATTTCCACCTACTGTGATTTTTAAGCTGCATAATGCCATAAGATCCTGCATGGTAAAGAACCAGTTTAACATTTCAATATTAATGTGAGATCATATCACATGAAAATTTAATTTGGAAATTTATCATTTAAACTTTGAAAGGAATCCATGGAAATTTGTGACTTACAGCCTTTTTTTTCAATTCAGAACAGATAAAATCCCACATACAGTACGCCAAGTCATGCATTATTACTTAGTTCAGGTTTGCAGTACCACTAAATCACTTACTGCTCTGTAACTATGCTAGAAAAAAGAAAAGCAACAAGGAGATGATGTGTTACACTGAAATAAATCACATACAACTATGTTTAAATATTTTACCAAGCAGGGTCAGATTATATATAAATGATTTGGAGACTTAAAATGGCACAGGCTATTCATTGCAGGAAACTAACATACATCTTGAAATTACAGATTACTTCCAGTTTGCTAGTAATGTCAAATTTAATCAGTAGTGGAATAACAAGGGAAAAATGGGGAAAAAAAAACATGTTTAAGTGGAAGTTGCAAATGAAAAGACCTCAATTTCTTGTAAGTTCCAAAACCTCTTAAAGCTAATAGCAACTCTTCTGTGATTTTTCAAGTGTGTATCTCTTATAACACACAGAAATTAAATGTTTGCATATTGAAATGTGGCAGCAACAGTTTTTCCAAACCCCAACTAGGATCTTTACCTGCTTGTGTGCATTGGTGTGTGCATGTATGTGGGTGGGTGGGTACTTTTAAAATTCTTTTTGCAGCGTGATCCTATTAGTAGTATGACAATAAATCACCTCTGGAAAAAGTCCAGCCTGATATCAATAGGGCCTCACTGTGGATCCTCACCAATGTCAGTCACCTATCCCACTGAAATAAAAATTATACCAAGGTAAAACTGACACACAACCACATTCAGTTCGCTGAACTTCAGCTATTATTATGCATATATTTAAAAAGGCTCCAAACATCTACAGGAGTGCAGGCAGTTGTGTATTAATGAGAAGACTGAGAAAGGAGCATGTTATTGCTTTAGTTTCAGATGTTGTGTTGTAGGAGAAAATAAGCAGTAACCATAGGAAAAAACTACAGTGTATGTTGCCAGACGTTTAAAGTGGCAACTCATGCATGCTGAATAAAACGCCGAGGATATGCTTTAATTTCACCATGCAGGAAAAATTACCTGAGTTTTCGTAACCACTCATTATGTATTTTATGTAGGTTCGAGCTAGTGCGATTGCTCAGGATGCTGATCAGAACTACGACTATGCCAGTAACAGCGTGGTTCTTCATTTGGAGCCAGGAGACGAAGTTTACATTAAATTAGATGGAGGAAAAGCACATGGAGGAAACAACAACAAATACAGCACATTTTCTGGATTTATTATTTATGCCGACTGATAATGAGTAAAAAGACCCACCAAACCAGTCCAAAAATGAAGCTTGCTCTTCTAAGCAATGGATTTGCGTGGCAGAAGTCAATGAAACAAGCACCCCAGCAGAGAGCGACCACCGAACACCTCAGTAGCGGGGAAAAAAAGTCGAATGCTACCTGATTCACATCTGTACAACACAGAGAAACCTTATGTTAAAAAATTATAAAACAAGTTAAACAGATGTGCGATCCACTACCGCCAAAGCAAATACTTCCTCATTGTTAGTGTCCATGTGAATGAAGTCCTACATAGATCAAATTTTTATAGAAAAAAAACCACCTAAGGACACTGAGCTATTTCTTCAGTGTATATGATACCTTGATGTGTTATGATCTTGCTGCTTTATCCATACTTCAGCTTCAGTTCTTGTGACTTACTTGCTAACAATGATGCTTGGAGTCCACTCATAGTGTGGTGAGGAATGATTTTACAATAAAAGGAAGAGGTAATCAAAATATACTTTCTCTCTCCAAAGGAATTGTTTGCCTTGTACTTTTCTTATCCTTCCACTTAAAACTAGAAACTAATCAGCTTCAAGCCTTAACTCAGTGTTTCTGCTTTGTAGGTTTACATTAGACCTTTAACATAAAAATCAATTCAGTGGAGTTGTTTAAATTTTGTCTTTCCCTTAGCTGTGTTCTAAAAGAAAAAGAAGGGTAGAAGAAACACTTTCTTTTTTTCTTTCCCTGAAAAATATAACAGTTGACAAACTATTCTATTGGATCAAATCCCTGATTCCACCAAAGCCAATGGCAAAACTCCCATTGATATTAATGGAAAAAGGATTTGGCTTTTAATTTGTAAATGTGTAAATATATATTTAGACAATTATTACAGGCCCATTCTTGATGGTTAGTTGTGTAAATATTTAGCAAGCCTGGCATCCATATCCTCAGACTAAGGTAGTTTTCTTTGCAGCAACTAGTCTTCATTAGTCTTTTAGCACTTAGTCTGTACTTGGGTCCTATTTTTAATAAAATAGTTATGACTTACTGCAGATGTTCAACTAGAACATTTCGTAGGAATATAATGGGTCAAAACCTTATTTGTTTTAGGTGTCTTATCTCACTGAAGTTAGTGGGATTACTCCCACAAAGGAAGAATGGGAGATCTGACACATGAGAAAATGTTGTCACACAGACCTTTTCCATGGTAGTTAGTTACCAGTTTGTAGTAAGGCGTGCCTATGAAATGGACACAGATAAGCATATTACCAAAAATGATAACACATATGCAAAGAAAGAAGCAGATATTTACATGCAAAAAAAAAGGTGTGTATTAAAACCTATTTTTCTCATTCATATATATATATAGATATATATATATAAAATCTCAAAGAAGTTTAATCCATATAAAGGATTAATGGCTTGGAGAATTAAACTAAACACAGGTACTATGAGTTACATAGTTATAAAAATGCTTTAAAATCAGTCATACCAGTAATGTCCACAGAATATTTTTCTTGAGAAAATGGATTTATTATTTGTTTTGGTTTTGGGAGGGGAGGCTGTCTATTTCTCTCAGGTTAAAACTTGCAGATTTCATTCCAAACCTAAATTCTAGCAAGATAATTAACTAGCTCCTTAGCACAGTTGGTTATGTTATTTATTTTTAACATTTTGGCAAAATCAAGGTAACATTTCTGTAAATTGTTAAAGAGTAATAGAGGCTACCCCTATCATTTCTATTTCATGTACTTTGCCACAAGCAAACTTGTCTAATGTACTAAGGGTACAAACTCAGATTTATCTGCACTAATATGTCAAAAGTGTCTGCCACTGTGACAAAAAAGCTCTTCAGTGCTGGCTGCTCAGTAAAAGTCTGATGAAGATTTCACAAATCTATCTAAAAATCTCTCGTTTGAATGAGTGAAGCTTTTCTTAAACAAATCATGTTACTCTTTCTGTTTCTGTTTTGAGTTGTCCAGTACAAAATAAATGCCGAGTTAGTCAAGGCTGGCTGAGAGGATCACCAGTCTAACTCATCTAGGATTTACAAAGGGACATTGTGCTGCCAGTTGCTTGTGTATTATCTCACCAGAATGGTTAATGCTTTTACTTTATGACAAAGTGCCAACCTATATCCGTACATTGTAGTGATTACTCCTGTTTTTTTTTCTACAAGGTAATGTATTTCAATATCAGATGTGTGATTTCATGTCTGTTCATTCCACTGTTGCTTTTATTGGTTAGCACACTCAAAACAGCAGCGTAGCTAGAGATTTTCTACGTGGTATCAAACACTAATGTACCAAGCTAGAGATCATTTACAACTAGCAATGCATATTTACTACGGTATTTACTGAAAAAGATCAATGCTACAAGATGTTTTTGAAATGAGGCTACTGCTGCTACTGGATAAGACCATTTTTTGGATAAATCACCTGCCCTAGTTAAAGTTAGACAAGAGCAAAGAACACACTTTACGTGAAAAATACATATAAGGCAAACATTTCTTCTGTTTTCATCATATCTTGATATACTGATTTGTAAAGACTTATATCACAACCTTTGTTATAACTATTACAACTCATTAAAACTGTATTATGTAATACATTTTGACTTTTGGTGTTACATCCTTACAAAAAGAAGCTGGTGTGCATGAAGTCTCACATGATCACTGTGAGATTCCGAAAGTTCGGGACAAAAAATTAATGCGATTGAAAAAAGTAGTAATACTGCACATTGTTTAAAAGGTCATCAAGTTGCTTTATTCAAAAATATATTTTTCCATGTATTTTTCACACTTTCAGTTAAAAATAAGTAAATTGTTAAACTAGAAAGAAACAGTATCATTGTAGAATTATTCGAGATTCCTTTTGTTGTCTGTGGAAGCTATTTAAAAGTCCCAGACATTTTAGCAAGCATTATTTAAAAACTATAAAGGATAATCAGAAGATTGTCAATAATACAAGGATTAAAATCACCCCCTGGAAAAGGGGAATTGAATTGAAAACCATAATTTCCTTCAAAGTCCAGATGATGCATCTTCAAAAATATTTTTGGGTAACATTTAGTAATAGTATTAGATTACTCTCTAGAAACAATTATTTTAAAATTTTAGTGGAAAAGATTTAGCAGGTAGGCTCATATCCAGTAAATCATTCATGAACATTTTTAGAAGGGAGAAAATGCAGAGAGAATACATAATTTTATTGTTTTATTTAAAAAGAAAAGTCATCATCAGTTTGTTCGCATTTAACTTCCAGTTTCTCTGAAAAGAATCAAGTTTTAAAATGACTACTCTCCTGAAACAAATCTGAATTTTATCAAGCTTCCCGATAAAATACGGATATTTATTCATTATTTTTACTTAAAAGTTAACCACCGCTTCGGATTTGCTAGGAGTATTTTATCAATTTTATCTTGTGATATGCCTCTAATCAGCATTTTAGGAACTATATTTTTAAGGATATGTGAATATCCATGACCTCCATATTTCATCAACCTATTCTTAGTGTGCACATCATGAGCAATCAGAATTCTGTCTTCATAGCCTTCATCGATCAGCATACGAATCCTGCAGAAGTAAAAAACATGCCTGTCAGTGAAAGGTTCTCACTCTGCAACAGCACAGAACTGAGCAGGGTTTACATTTTTTACATTACTGTACTTCTGGACTGTATTATAACTGAAAATACTTATCTTTAGATACTCAGAAGACATATTCCTTATATTTAATTGAAATTAAAACATGTATTTTATTGCATGAAAAAACCTACCTCTGAAAACATACCACTACATGTCTCGAAATGGAGAAGGAAAACTCTTTCCAGCGGCCACATGACTCTGCATTCCCAATCCCATTAAGTCTACAGAGGAATTCTAAAGTTTCCAAGCATGGGACACAGGCTTTGTATACATGAGTAAGCCATAATTTCCTACAGAAACTCCTTCTCAACAGGTTAGTTCTTGCTGCTGTCAGAAAGGTAGTCCCATTACATTTGTTAATGACCAGACTCTGTGTGTGGCAGGCCCTTTAGGGGCTTTGCTCAATTACACAAATGCTTCCACATCTTTAGTTAATTCCCATTTAGCAAACCAGGTTAATAAAAATTTGAAGCTGTCAGTGCCATGTTCCATATAGACAGTTATCACACCAACATGTTTCAAAGATGTTCATTAAAGAAGATAAGTAAGACAGGCATTGCACAGTGCTAGCATATGCCAGGAAATAAGAGGAATTAATACAGCAGCCCAGCTAAGCAGACTTGGCAAAATGACAAGTCAGCTTGGAAAAAGAAGTAATCCTTCTGGTCACTCCCTTGTAGTAAATCAGCTACAAGTAGTCCTTCTGTTCCACATTTCACTCTGGTAACCTTAGTTCCTTGTTCAGCTCATTTTTAAGAATTTATTCCAGGGGTGTCTAAACTCCTGCATTGCACGACTGCTAAGTTTCCCACTAAGCTTCAGTTTAGTTTGGCAGCAGATTGCAGCGTTGAAGTGGCAGAGATGGACAGACCAGACCTGGAAAGTGCTCGTTCCTCATGAAGGCACCCAGTTCCGTCATTTGCCAGCATGGTGAAATTCTAATTCTTACCCTCATCGCTGTGCTTTGCTCAGAAAGAAAGCAAATAATAGCTTTGTAAGTAACCACACTATTATCTGAAAGGCCTTACTGGCAGTTTTTATTACAATTAGTTGTAAGGAGATACATGTAGCAGGATCAAATCAATATGGGCAGCAGGAAGAAGGCAAGTAAGATAGAACTTGGTAAAATATTAGCATCTTTCAAAAAAAACACTGTAAATTGTGCCATATAGTGCATAACGCTACATATACCATAGTATTACAACACCACAAGTATCTTCTCCAGTCTGAAATACAGAGAGAACACAAGCCAACCAGAGAGTAAGAACAATGACACTGGAGGGACTAAGTTCTCTGTGGACCAAACATCTTCTTAGAGTCATCTCCTTTCATATTTGGACTAATTTAATCGGTTGGGGAGGCATATGGGTCCTTTATATTCCATATTCATTGCTGCTTTTTGATCATTCCTGTAAGTTAGTACTGGCTTCTGACTCAAAGAAAAACTCCCTGAAAAAATTCAGGTTTTTACTTGCATTGGCAGTAGATTGCATAGGTATACACATGGCTAAACTGTGTTTGAGTAGGTATGGCATGACTATAATAGTTTACGTTTTGAATAGATGAGACCTAAATGTATATTTTCTATTTAATATTTTCATCAACATGCTTAAAGGTCAATTTGATTTCCAACTCTCTGGTGCTGTTTGATGAAAAAAACCCCAGCAAACCCTAAGGAGATTGCCACTGCCACCCTATGTCCAGTGTGGCTGCATCAAAAGCCCAACAAAATCCATTTAATGGCACTTTGAACTCAAATGCACATATTCACACCATACAAAGAGAAGACAAACTTTGTATTTTCTTCCTATTAACAGCCTGCTGCAAGAAATACTCAAATGCCAGAGAATGTAAAGAGAGACATCGGTGGCTGAGCATGGATGGAATGAAAACTTTGCCACGGTTGAACAAGCACTTGTTAACCAAGGCATAGTCCATTCCTCTACATACATTCCTCACAGTGCTTCTGTACATGCTGATCTCCCATGGCACAGGAGAGGGGAGCAACTTTACCCATTCTAAATGTGGAAACTGCAGATTCGTTGCAATGGTTTAAAATACTGAGTGCAGGAATGAGAGTCCTATTAGGAGAGAGAAACTATTTCTAGTGTGAAAAGCAGCAGCAAACACTTGGCAGTAAGTGGGATAATAACCATGGCACCTTCTTAAGAAGAGAACAGTCTGAAAACAGAGAAGATTAGTTGTGAGGTTAATCTGACAATGAGAGGGAGGGAAGCCATATCTGAAATGTAAGTGAAATCTACAGAGATACTTCATTAGTGATCAGGGATCATAAAATCTTTCTCATCAAGGAGAATGAAAGAACTGTTTGTGACTCTGGATGGAAAAAAGACACAGGCAGGACAGCACCTCACCCATCAGAAACCTGCCACTTCAGGCACTGTGTGCAAACACACTGTGGACGAACAGCACTGGAGGATCACACCTCCAGACAGAGTGGAAGGAGTGAGATGCCCATCCCCAGCTGATCCTATCTGTCTCAGACAGTTTCTGCAAGGAATGCAGCCCCTTGGAAATACCTTATGTTAGCACAGCCCAACAGATCTGCCGTGCAGCTAAGCTGAGACTGCATGTACTGATGAGAACCAGGGAAGAGGTATCCTGCCAGTGGGGCCAATATTTTCACATTGTGAGTGAGGAGCATGGGAGTTCTGAGGAGACAGGAATCTCATCCTTCAAAAGATAGAAAGGGCAAAAGACGGAGGAGAGGAGAGGAGATAAAATGTTTGGAAGAAAAAAGTCAGGTTTTCAGGACAGAAGCGCAGGATCAAATCCGCCCAAACCAACCAGTGAATTTTGCTGGGTTAGCACATTCCTGAGGAGATGTAGCAGGCTCAGATGATGCTTAGTAGTAGCACTAGGTTTCCAATACTATGTGTCAGACAAAAGCCAAACCCTAACATAAATCCATTATCTCCAGCCTTTTTTGCAGTCTATATAAATGCAGTAAGTGATAAAATTCAACCAGATCAGCGTGGAATTAGGATGGAGAATGAAGTTAAAAAGCTCCTGATCTTCTTCTGAAGTATCTTTCTACAACACTATGATTCTATATCTTCCTCTGCAGACACAAGAAATTATACATGCTGCTCTAAAGACATGACAGCAGCAGAAAAAAAAAGCCATTATTCATTATGAAAAAAAGAATTTTGAACAGCAAGCAGAATCTCACAGTGATGCCCTTAAAACAAGTACCAATAATATTAATTTGTCAATGGCAACACTATAGCTTAAACTGCATGGAGGCAGATACCTTGCAATTCTTTCGTTGTCACTCGGCATGTCAATATCAGGATGGAATTGGTAATGAAGAAATTCTGTACCAAATAGGTCATACTCTAAATAGCATCCAAGTTTAGCAAATTCCAGAAGTTTCTTTGTATCGAATATAGTCCTGCAGAACATACATATCACAAAGACAGCATTGTAACAGGAAGAAAAAAAATCTCATGGTATGAGGATGGGTATTCTGTGACTTCCTACTTGCAAGGAACAAAATCAATAATCTAAGATTTAATTCACCATTCTGAAAAACAGGACTCCTGTTTGACACATGCAACTTAAGCTGATTGTCTTTCTCACATTCATCCAGGACTTCATGCATTAAAAAAAACAAAACAAAACAAAACCAACTCTTGCCCCATGAAATAATGAAAACATTTATGATAATCTTTAATCTTTACATGGAAACAGGAAAGATACTTACTTTTGATATCACTAACCCTCTCAACAGACAACCTAACAAGGAAGGACATTTAAGGAGGAGGTTAATTCACAGTGACATTTAAAAAAAAAGACAATGGATTACTAACATGAGACAGATTTACTTTCCCAAAAGAGTTACAGGAGACAGCTACATCCAGGGCTTGTTTCATCCATCACACACCGGTAATACACAACTTTTTCTTTAGTTTCTATTCTGTACAGTGATGTTTCTAGACTGTCATTAGAACAGCAATATATCATTGTTTGCACTGGGATCTTGCCAGAATGCCTTAAGGAAACGCTCTCACCAAAATATATAATGGCACTGTGACTACCTGGGACATGGGTTTTGCAGCAGATTTGCAAAGTGAAGGAACAAAGCTACTGGAACCCATCCTCATTTGGAAAAAGAATGGCAACTGAAATAAGAGCTCCTTGAAATAATTATTTTTTTATTTGAAGCGTTTTTATCAAGAGTATAAGCTATTCAAAGGAAAACAAAACCACTCAAATGTTATATTATGATTTTATCTTTATAACAACAGATTTTCTTTAATCTAGTGAAAAAAAAAGTTCCCACAAGAACAGCACAGTTAACCAAAAGAGCAGTAGTTTAATTTTATTACTGAAGATATTGATGTCACAAAGTAATTTTACCCTATACAATTACATCACAGTCTGTTGCTATGGAAATGACTCATGTCACAATTTCAATATTATGACTTAACAACAGGACCAAGTAGGAGGAACAGATGGGTTGAGAGAGAGAAAACCCTTGTTCAAACATGCCTGCCATCAGCAGGAGTCTAAGGCTTGCCAAATGTAATTAATAAAAAATGTTATTTTAAAATAAATGTTACAATTTACAGAGATTGAACATTTATCACCAATGAGTTTTCAAAGTGCAGAGCAAGTGAATGGGTTATTTTATATCCAGCCCTGCTCAGTTCACAGGGAGACAGCAGCCAAGAGTATTCAAACCTGTGCAGGTGACAAAAACCACCCAACAATATATTTCAAAATCAGAGCCAGAACAATTTATTTTAAAAACTATTGTTTGGGTTGTGCTTTTGGGTGCTCTGTCCCAATGAAGAGAAGAACTTAATTTCCTCAACCATTGGGTCCCCTTGTAAACCACACGGATGTAGCAGCAGCAGCAGTTCCCAGCTCAAATTGCTAATCTCTGTGCTGGAATTAGGTGTTTAGGCAACATGTGTCCCTGAGTAGCCCTGAACACACAGAAAAAGAGATGGGACACAGGGAAACATCTTGTAGTTTGGACCTCATCCAGAAATCACCACAGGGACACCCACCAAAACAGTATCAAGCAGGCATTCATAGCAGCTGCTGTGAGTCTTCCAACAAAAGCTACTCAAGCAAATGAATGTTCATCTCTACCAAAATACTTTTATAACCCTAATCCCTAATAAATGGCCAAAGCCAAGACTCAATAGCTTTTGCTTGTCAGCCTTTATCTACACCATAGTTTCACTATGGACACTTGCTACCTTTTGTTCTAAAGGTAGCCAGTCTTTTAGTTCTATTATCTGATTGTAAATCCACCTGAAAACTACCATTCTGTCTATGTCAAAAGCAGACATGAAATATGGAGCTGTGTACAAATTTATCTCACATTTAAGGGACTGGGATGTTCCCATGTAGATTCTTCGCACCGAAGGAGACTGAAAATGTTAAATGCACATTGCAAAGCCAAACTTCACAGTAGTTTAGAGTCTATGTTATAGCAAGTGCCAACCTGAATGTGTGAAAGTAATGATAGAAGGACTATAAGGAAATGTCATATTGTGCATCAGAGGCTGTTGGTGAAACTGCACCTCTCTCTTGACTGTTTTCTTATTTATATTGCTTATTTTCTACCAATAAATCATTGTATACAATGACTTACAACAGCATATAAAGGTAAAAAACATAACTGGATGTTTATGTTGTAACAAAATGGCTACAAAAGTACTGACACCTGAAGCTTTATCAGTCCTCTTTCATAAAAAGATTTAAGTAATAAGTTTTTCTTTAAAAATTAGAGAAAAATACAGCTATAGATATAATGGAATGCAGGTAAATACATCAATAAGGCCCATATCATTTCTATATAATCAAATATAAATAAAATTTCATGGAACTGCATTTTATGCTGCTAAAATCCCCAAGTAAATCACTGAGCCCTGTGTGAATACAAAACACTCGTAAGCTCGATTTGCAAGCTCTTAGAGCCTATAACCACGAGAAATTTGGAGCATAGTGCTCTTGCCTGTATTACACTCACATTGAGGGCAAACAATCCAATTGCTGAGAATCACAGGACAACAAACAGTCTCCATTATTCAGCAACTGGCCAAGCTAATCAATCCTTGGACATTTTCCAGCTCACCATGACCAACACAAGGTCACACAAAACTGGTTTGGTAATAGAGGCTGTGTTATTGGAGACAGAAAAGCACCCCAATTCCTCTCCATGTCTGATGTGGTTTTTGCTCTCAAGAAAACTAAAAGTTAGTGCTCTGGTCTAGGCTAAGAACTATCCAAAACACAACTATGTTTTTTTTACGCAATATTTCTTCTGCCTGGTAGCAGAATGCTAAAAATCTGCCTCCTGCTTTGACCCAGAATCCAGACAAATCAAGGAGTTCTCCATTAGCTACTGTGGCCCAGTTTTCAAAAATGCTGGAAGCCCAGCAGCTTCCCACCCAATTTGGTGAGAGCTGCTCAATATCCAATGCTTTGTAAATACAGGTATTTGTGCAGGGATATGAATTCATGGAATTCTCATTTTTAAAAAATATGGTTACAGTTGTTCCTGATGTTGCTCCCAAGCCTTCAAAGAGAGCATTTAAAATCCCCAAATCTCCTTAACAATGTGAATCTAAACACTGATCCCGACTGAAGTGCTGGAAGCTGATCAAGCTCTATATAAGCGGTTATTTTTACGTCAGTAAATTTGAAGATAATTCTTCATGTCGTGATCCCAGTGCTCAACAGAAACCTAGCTATTTGCAGCACAGTTCCCCCAAAAAACAGTGGGTTGTGGCAACACTGCCAGAAGGACAGCAGAATAGTCTGCTTACCTGTCAAGGTGAGACATGACTGTCTTTGAAGCATCAGCCCCAGCTTCCTGCAGAACACGGATAATCTGGAACGGTGCATCACTGTTCCTGCCAGGATGGATGATAATGGGGCACCCAAGCTGTGACTGAGCCTGCGCTGTTGCCTGAAGCACTCTGTGTTCACTCTGAGTCAAAGGCCAGGAGCAACCTATTTCTCCCACCACACCACATTTGATGTTAGTCCCATCCGCTCCATTGAGTATCTCATCAACAATAATGCCTGTAAGCTAAGAGAATGGGAAAATTAGATTTTTGGTTATTAATATCATTTGTGTTAAATAGCATCAAATTTGGCCTGTGAACACCATTCTAATTATACTCCCAAGGTCTTGCTGAAATTATTTAATTAACAGTTGGGTGTATGAAAACACTGCAGTTAAAATCTGGTTTCTGTCAAGTAATGTTACGCTAGCCATTCACTAAAACCAAAATAAACACAGAAGCAAATCAATTTAACAGTATCCACTCACACAGTTGTCCAGGTTTGCCAAGAAAGCTGGTCTACATGTAATTTGAACACTGATTTAGGCTGAGACTGATGTTTCTTTAAAAAAAAAAAAAAAGTTTGTTTATCATGAAACCTGTGCTCACACTCCTGAATTGGCTCGAGAAACAATTCAGTGCAATTCCTTGCAAAACAAGGGATCCGAGAATAAAGAAACCTTGTCGTTCAGTTAGGGAAGGGAGAAACTCTGGCAAAGATCCTGAAGAGACATGTTTAAGGAAAATTCTGCTTGTGAGAATGCTGACGTAAAACAACAGGAGCTCTGCTGACTTCAGAACTACAAGATCAAGCTCAGCTGACAAATTTACAGTGTCAAATTAGCTTGCTTTTAAAATATTCATAGGCAAGAAAGACATAAGAATCACCTAATAAAAGCAGTTTGTAATAAAACCTTTAGTTTTTCTTTTCCAGAATAGGCCATAGATCTAAAAGCATACATACAACAAGAATTGAGAACACAAAATGGCACTGATGATGACCTCCTAACTCTTTGGCCCTGAATGTTAAGGAAACTGTGATTTTAAGGAAGAATAAAGTGAGCAAAGAAAGAAGGAAGGTTTGCAAGAAAATCCAGGAAACAAAAAAAACTTAAAATAATTTTCAAATAAATATGTAACTTACCTCTATTACACACCTTGTTTCCTCAACAGCCTCATACAACATATTGGTAAATACTCAATATGCCCACAAAAGTCAGTCCCAGCTATCACAATTTACAGCAGGTTTCTGCCCAACACTTTATCCTATGATCACACACCTTCTGCTTCACGTATAACCAGCCTACCAACCATTTCCTTAGACAAACAGACACAGAATTCACTCCTGTCCTGAAGAACATCTCTCAAAATATTCAAATTATCTTTTTCTAATCAGAAAATATAGGAAATACGGCAAATGAGGAACCACCAGTTAACACACTGTACAATCCCTTCTAAGAAACTGTCTTTTGGTCTGGATTAAGCACTGATTACCTGCTAAGAATGGGAACATCTGTGGGTCTCCAGCAATCCACCAAATACAGAAGGGAAACCCCTGACCCAAGAAATCTATTTGTATCAAATTTCAAGCAACGGAAGAATATTTATGAAAAGTAGTACTGTTCTGTACAGCTTGCGTCCAGTGCAGTTGGCAGAGCTGCTCAAGTTTTGACCACTGATTTTTAAAATTAATTTGACTCATTTGTAAACTGTGACAGATTTTTAAAAATTTTCTCAGCTCTGTTCATCTGCATTCACAGCCTCTTGCCCTGGACAGTTCCCTTCCCTCTTCTCCCTATCATCACATTTTCTTAATAAAAGATGAATGAATATTTATTATTATATCATATCTGGGGACCTCAGTCATTATTAACACATTGTCCTAGGCACCATACAAACAATCTGATGTAAACTCTGCCCTGAAGTCTGGATAAACAGTAGAGAAGAGAGATATAACACACATCCTGAGCAGAGCAATGATTTACAACTATCCTATAAATATTGCAATTACTTATGCTTTTTACAAGAATTCTGGGTGATCTCATTGGGAAGCAAGTAGCCAGAAAAAGAGACAGAATAGGCAAAAGGGATATACTTCTTCCTTAAAAATTGTAAAAAGAACAGGATAATTGGTGTTGTACCAGATGCTCACACATTAAGTACTTTATTTTCCTTTTACTATTGTATTATAACAAATCCCTGAGAGAAAATGGAGCTTAAGAATTGGAAATGCTGACAGACCATCCCAGCATACACAAGTAGTGCTTGTTCAGCTATAACACACAAGCAGTAATGATGTTCCCAAGATTTTCACGTCAAGAACTTCTAGATTTCATCTATTTTACTGGAACTTCTCTCCAGCTTTGACTCAGCCAGGGATAATTCATAGGAGAGAGACACTGCATCAATGGTTAACACTTACCTGTTCCACTGTCATGGCCTGTGTTTGAGAAGAATGAGTGGAATCCACATAAAACCCAGCCCCAGCAATAATATGGACTCCAGTTTCTTCAGCAAGTTTCTTCAAAGTATTCATATCCCGACCAATTCCTGTGGTTGTATTTTCCACAATCGTGCCACCACCTGCTGCTTTAAAATGAAACAGCTCCTCCTTCACAGCATCTGTTTCCTGATACAAAAGAAGGTTTTCTTTATGGCTGTAAGGATTTTGCTTAATCCAAAACAAGTTCTTCATCTCAATTGGCCCATCGGACAGAGGCTCTTGGCCTGGAGAAGGTGGACAAAAACAGCTGCTGTAGTTCATAGTCAAGTGTTCATGAGTCAACGTATAGCCAAGGTGGTTTGGCTCCACAGGGCCCAAGACAGTCTGTGCTTTCCCTCTCAGGCAAGGCATTTTTCTTCAACAAACGGAAAAAAATAATCAGATTCTAAAAGACTCTGGGAAGGAAGAAGAAAGGAAATAAAAGCATTTCAGAAAGAGCATACCTCTCTTACACAATTTCTGAATTCTCTCTTTTCTCTCATGCATGGACCTACATGCTATGTGTGTTTGCTGGGACGTTTTTAAACTCTGTTTCCAGTAGAGTGGACAATATGAAAACCAATGCATTTATTTTACCCAACTGCACTTGTATCAGTACTCTAGCATTGTAAAAATATCACATTCCAGTACAAGAAAATTGTCATCATTTATTGTGGTATAGTCAGTATCACATTAAGATAAATGTTTCCTATTTAATAACAACCACTGTATGTTCATTTAGGACTCTCTGCTCTTCAGCAGCTGTCAAATTTTGTCAGCTTGAGCCACCAGATGAACATACTTGGCACCAAGGCCGAATATTCCTTAATTGTACATTCAGTTTATTTATCTGTGTCCTCCAAGACTTGCTGTCCCCCTTACACGCCAAGGAAGCCATCTGTGTTCAGGCACCTTGTCTGCCCCTCTGTATGAGGAGCACAGGGATGAGGGTGATCACCTGCTCCTTCGGCTTCAACAGGGGCTCAGGTTCTCCTGCCAGCAGCGCTGTGGAGGGCTGGGACAGCCCAGGACAACTCCTCCAAGGCTGACAACAGCTGCCAAAGATATGGCGTGGCCTCCAGACCAGTAAGGCAGAAGCCAAAGTGCTTCTCCCATCAGCTTTATTGGCCAAATATTTTACCAGGTAAAAACAGACCTTAACCTAACAATTTATATGGCTCATCCACTAAGATACTTTTTCCTTCAACTTTAACATGAGCGAAACAATGTTATTTCTCAGAACTTTAAATGAGTCCTGATAAAGATAAACATTGAGGCTACAGCTGGTTCATGTCAAAGGCATCTGCCCTGTGCAAATTTGGCTGACTCACTAAAGGTTAGAATTAGCTGCGTCTCTCCCCATCAGGATTTTGGGTTATTTTTTTCTTTGGGGAGTGGGGGTAGTCTTTTTCGTTTATGTGCCATATTAACATTAAGCGTAGCTGACTACCCAGTTCATGTTAGATCTTCCTAATGCTAGTTGCAAAGGCTTGAGGATACACAGTTATAATCCCTAGTCAACCAAAATCATCAGTTATGAAACAAAATACATGTTGAATCATGTCCAGAGGACAGGACTAAGTAGAGCATGCATTATTGATTAAAGAGAGAGGTCTTTCCCATTTCTGTCTCCCTTTTAGTGAATAATATCACAAACATGGGTTTGTTACTGGTGAAGCCCTCAGAGGACATTTTCGTTTTAACTGCTAAAGTTAATCTACCAGGATGACAGAAAAACTGAAATCTGAAGGGTACTGAACTCTACATATCAAAGGGCACAAGAACATCAGGATCTCTTTGGGGATACTTTCATCTCATGAGAAGCAGTCGTTGTCAGAGCACCAATGCACAGAAGTGACCCAGCCTCTGCAAAAGGCAGATATCACCTGCCTAGTGAAGTCCATAGTGCTCACAGTTATTTTAGTATGAAAATTTGGCCATCCATAAGAAAGCGAAAGGACTGACTGACTAGATTTGCTTGCCTTGTGTAAAAGCAGACCTAGGAAGAACTGTTCTTTTATGAATTTCACTTCTACACTAGTGTGTTGACTTGTTTGAGAAGGCAGAAGAATAATTACTCTCATAGAAGAGACTGCTGGCTGATTAATGTAATGATTTATTTTTTGACAAATAAATTAAGAAGTGCATCATTTCAGAAAATATTATTCTCGAGCAAATAATTAAAAGCAAAATACCTGTCTTAGAAACTGCTGCTAGCTGCAATTCAATTAAGTTGTCCAACCCAGTCATTAATTCCATCCTTCAACAAAGCTGGTGCTCTATAGAGCAACCAACTATTTTGGAGAAAGTTCAATGATCTGAGTCATTCTTATATGCACAGCAAAAAGACTAATATAATTTTAAGATAATTGCATTACCTTTGCCTTTTTTTTTTTTTTAACATTAAATATCTACACTCTAGCATCCAGTAAAATCCTGACAGCATAGTGATAACTATTCTCTGCATTGAAGACACACTTTTCTTTCCCCATGTTCACTGACAATTTTCAAATCCATTTAAGTCAGAAAAACAAACCTATATAAATATTTTTTAATATCATTAAATACATAAGTATTTAAGTTCTTTTGATAAAACTTGACACAAACCAATTACAGTTTGTTTCCTTAACAAGTTTCCACCAGAGTTTTTTAGTTATTTAATAGTGCAGTTACTCAAAAAGGCCACTCAATGTGAATTTCTGCTCACTTTCAGACTACTACTTTGATAAAAAGTTGACTTTCAACATTTGTTCCCACTAATTCCTTTCTAACATGGTTAATTTAGATTACCCTCAATTAATCTGGCCTGCCCATTATGAAGACCGGTGGTTGCATGTGTGTGATCTTAGAGCCTGAGGCTGACGTCTTATGATTTATAACAGCAGGAAACATCTAAAATTACCAGTTCCAGTGCCAGGTTTCTCTTGTAGCAGAGACTAGTCTGTTGATTTTTAGACTCTAGATTTCAGATTATAGCACACATAGACAGTTTACAGATCAAGTGTCTAGCATTGAACCTTTTGATTAAGGCCAAGGATTTTTACAAATATAAGCAGCATCACAAAAACAGAAACTGACACAAACAGCATTTAAAGTAGGCCTAATTTTATCTGCATGAAAAAATATGATTAATATTAATGTCTGTGCCTGCTTACTAACACAGTTTTAGAAACTCACTGCTTTTAATAAAAAAATTATGAAAAATTAAGACAGCCAATAAGAAAAATAAAGACAGTCAACAACCAGTGACTGGAATTATTTTTAACACCACTGTCCTGATATCCTCCCTACTGTCATTTACACAGACTGCATGCCCTGATTATGCTATAATGATGCATTATTCCTAATAAGATTCACCTGATGGAACCAGAATCTAATTAGTGTCTTTAAAACAGATTTTAGGTGCAAACAGATTTTAAATGGAATAAGGACTGCTGCTTAATTTAAGCGTGTATATGTTACTACAGAAATCAATATTCATGTACTTTGCTAGTGACTTCCATGCTATGTTTTACACAGAACTTTCTTCTGAGAAAGTTTCTGCTTTCATATACCCAGGATTGAATCCATATCACCTCATTTAGCCATCTGAAATGATGTATGTCTTCTACAGAATAATCATCTAGACCATTTTCATAGTGGAGATGGAAAGACATATCCATTGACAATTCATCCAGCCTATTTTGAATGTTTGTAATAGGACAGGACAAGTCACTTTCTGTAATATTAGCCTCCTTCCATGGTCTACGGAGGGAGCCAAGAAACAATCCTAGGCAAGACAAGTATATTTTAGATGGTCCTACATAATATGTGTGAATTATATTTCCTGAATCTTAACCCAGTCCAAGGGGAGGGGGAAAGGTGCTGATGTCCGTGACAAAAGATAAACAGGTAGGCTCTTATCTGGCAATAACCGGTATTTTGGTTTTGGAAATCACTGATTTATGCTGTGGTATTGCCAAGGTGCTTCTGCATATTCCAAAGCTTCTCTGCTTGAGGTGCTGTATAAACAGAGAAATAAATGGTATTTCCTGAAAATTAAACGTTCAGATATAAAAGAAATGAGAATTACTTTAAGATATAACCAAAACTTGTATTATTTTAAAACAACCTTGAAACAATACCTTAACATTTCTGTAATAAACTCTGGACAAATCTTTACAACCACCAATTGTATGGTGCATAAAATACGACTCTCCCCATTCACCAGCTATTAAATACTGGTGAAGTAAATATTTTTCCTAGTGGTATTGTTAAGAGAAAAGAGACTTGCTGCTAAAAAGGTCATGGTACTGCAGTCCTGACTCTGGTAAAAACTCCACTGAGTTCAATAGATGTTTTGCCTGAATACTGATGACAAGATTTGTGTTTCCACTTTTCCCATCTGAAACGTGTGCTTCAGTCATTGTGTCATTTTAATGGTCTTGTAGTGGGAAGTCTCCCTAGGTTTGGATTAGTTGCTTCCTACAGTAATCTCATATTGCTGAAACATTATAATCGCATAAACACAGTTTCCACATGCTAACGCTGCATTTGTTTTGATTCGGTAAGCACATTTTAATGGTATTAGCACATATACTCTCTAGACTTGTATGAGAATCATTTTATTGCCATTACATTACAATGTGAGATTACAGCGACATTAAATCCAGATTGCTGTGACACAAAATTTACAAAAAAAAAAACAAAAAAACCCAAAAATGGTTCGATGGGTATTTATTATATTTAGAAAAAGTTAAACACAGCTGCCATTTAGAAACAAGGGCTGCCCTGGCTGCATCAAGAGCTTTGTAAGTGGGTCTTTCCTTTATAACCATGCAGTCCTAAGAAACATGACATAACGTAGGTTCACTATATATTTACAGGCAGAGTAAATGCTTTGAGCATTCAAATCTACTGTGAGCAACCTCTATGGAGCCTGGAAAAACCCCACATTAGAAATATATGACACGTATGTAGTAAATTGCCATTAGCTAGTCTATGCTGTTTTATGTCACTATTCCCCCACATGTAAGTATTTTGCAAGAGTGAAAAAAGTTAGCAAGATGAAGAGAGGCAGAGGGTAAGAGAACACATGTAGACTATGTCAGGAGTAATTTAAAAAATTAGCTTCTTTCTCTCTTCCCCCATGCTTTTGTCAACTCTGTAGAGGTTTAGCGAGTAGAGGGAACCCAATACTGCCAGCCCAGTTCTTCCTCTTCTCCACAAGACAAGCAAGTTTTCTAACTTCTGTGACAGATCGGTGCCAGATCTACTTTATCTTCTTCAAAAATTTATTCACAAGTGCTAATTACAGGACAAACATGCCTGCAGTCCAGCTCTCTCTCATACACTGGTTTCAAGAAGCATGGCTTTTTTACTCATGCACATCATGCAAGTGCAGCTACAAAGGCTGAGGAGCAGAGTTCACCACAGCTGGCTGAGGGAGAGTAGCAGCAGGACTGAACTTGCATCTGCTCCAGGACAAATACAGGTTTACTTGTCATTCAGCCTAGCAATTCCCTCTGCAGCAATGTCTGCAAAGGTGTCCCTCAGCCTGCAATGTCATACTCCTACATGGGCACTCTCACAGGACCACTCATTGTCTCTGTGTTACACCAGATTACAGCACATCTCATATTGCTTTTGGGCTATTTTGCCCAAGAAACAGAATTTGGAAATGGGGTAAAAGTACTATGAAAAAATGCAACTTCCTGGGCAAACTCCTGTCTCTTCTGCAGAAAGGGTAGATATGTTTCTCTGAAGGTGATGCAGGTTATTCTCATTAAAGTCCTGACTGTTCTTCCCTATCTTCAGAATTGACATTGGTCAGAAGTGATATTGGTCTTTTTCCTCTCTCAGACTGGTGCTATGAGATTATCATGACTTGTTGAACTTCAAGGTAACTTGGAAAAATGAGCCACGGAAAACAAATTTTTTTTTTTTTTACTTTCATACTATGTTAATAAAAAAAAAAAATCAAGCCAGTATCATGACAGCTTTTCATAGTATGGCCCCTTGCATAGTGCAGAAGTGTACTAAGGGGACAAGGGCATGTTAGTACTTCCATGAGCACCAACATCGAGGCAAGATTTTGTGTCCTAAGGATCGATGCCACACAGGAGATTTTTCATGCCTTGACTGAAGCTCTTCTCAGAGAGGAGGGGAACACTTGCAGTGCCCTTCTCCTACCAGAACTCCTGTCCAACCCCATATGAGCATATGTTGCAGCTCTTCCCTTAATGGGGCATCTGTGGTTTACCCATCATTGGGTGGCTATATTTCCATGCAGCAAGTAAGAACCTCACCATTTCAGATATGTGTAATCTCTTGACCAGGTAGAAATTGGCCAACAGATTCAAAACCTAGAGAACTCTTGGGGAAAAATATTTTAAAAGCATCACCTATCTTGACTTTGCCACATTTTTTCCCTGAAAGACACTGTTCTGGAGACACTCAGAATAGTGGGTTAATGCTGTAGCCTTCAATGACCTACCTCTGGTCCCCAAACCATTCAGAAATGTGTATTTCCTTAAGAAGCCAAGCTAAAAGAAATGCTAAATATTGATTTTCACTAGACTTTCTATATATACTTTGAGCAACTAAAAAATCTTTACACTACAGAAGTGAGAAGGGATACTGAAAGTAAGACTTTATATAAAGTTACAATATGTGCTATGAAAAAAAATTAGGAGAGCTTTAGCCAACCCTTATATAATCCTACAATGATAAAGAGAAGCCCCAGAAAAATATGCATGTACACACACCACAGCAGTTGTGCTGCTTGAGTCGCACTGTCAATGGTCACTTACATTTTAAGAGAAATTTAAACACTATTACACATACACAAAAGGCCAATATATTGATTCCCTGCCCTCACAACCTCTGAAAAGTGCACTCTGGGGAGAGGAAGTGGGCAAGTGAGAAGCAAAGCTCTTAAATGTTCACCTGAAAGGGTAAGTGAAAATCCTGACTGTATATTCCCTCTGTTGCTCAGCTAGTGGCAGACAGACAGACTGACCTTCCAGCTTCTCATGGTTTGAGGGTCACATTCTTGCTCCAGCTAAACTTTGAGCCAGACATATATAATACAGATTTCTGAGAGCTGAACAGCCACACCAGAACAAAGTACAGCCTCTCCTGTTGGTTTCACAGTATGGCCATACCTTTGGGATCAAAGCAAGCACACGTGATCTGCACATGACCACATGTGCACGCGTACAGTGATTTGTGCCAGAGGCAGACTCTAAGCCACTTAGTCTCTACTACTTTGCACATTTTTTTTTCAGTTTGATTAAAGTTCAGCTTTTGTGAACAGAATAGTCAGGCTTTTATTTGAGCCTATTTCTGTGCAGACAACAGTCTAGGCTTCCCTGAGCAAAGTCACAGTGAAATTTCTCTTCCTCGGAGAGATCTGAGACCAACATCCCCGTAAATGTTTTTTCATCAACATCTCCTTCAGAAGAACTTCAGGGGATTTTACATTTTGGGCAACTCCTGATAAAAGGTCAAACCAAAATCCTCCCCTAGGGTCCAACTTTAATTATATTTTACATGCACATATAGTGTTTTTAGGCCAAAAATCATAACTGAAGTTACATTATGCTACATGCAAATATGGGCTGAGTCCGGCATGTTGATACATACATTTGTATTCTTAAGCTAAACAGAATCATATTTGCTTCTCATGAGTGCTCGTCTACAAACACATACTCCCTTTTTTGCTAGGACAAGAAGATAGAGTTTGTGCTTTTCAGGAATGCATGTCCAGTCTTCAGTCCTTCTGAATTTCAAATTTCAAACAAGCACGCATCTGACTCCACCCTTACTATTATTCTCATTGACTTTAATTGTTTTTCTCTTTACGTAAGGTCACATACACTTAAATTTTTTCACATGAACTTAAACATTTCACTAAGCATCTTGGATAGAGCATTACCACTTGTTTGTGCAGCATCACCAAGAGCCACATCAAATCCTTCTATGGATCTTTACATACAGAAATAAAGAGAAAAAGGGATGGAGGTCTAAGATACCAAAGAACAGATATCATCCTTCTCACCACACAGATCTAAACAATGGAAGAGTGATGTTCATAACTACCTCCTCCTCAAGACTAGATGTTACTAGCTAGAAAAATTCAGATGAATGAACCCCAAGGCCAGCTTTGTGGCAGAACATACCAGCCACTGAGACCTGTGAAGTCATGCACAGTGGAAAACAGCATGGAGATAGGGTTTAGTGCCTCATTCAAGATCACAGTTTGCAGTAACTGGTAAAAGCAGGAACTTCCAGAAAACCACTTTCTTTACTAGTGAGTGGTGGCCTTAGGTGCACAGAACCAAACTCAGTTTCCCACTACTGCAAACAATTGTACCCCAAAACTTGCAACCAATCTGAAGACCCACCGGAAAAAAAATACCCCGAGAAAAGCCTTCACAGTTTCCACTGTGACTGTTCTCCATGACTGTGTCAGGAAATAGAAGCTGTATGCCCTTCTCAAGGTCAACTTCTGCTCTTACAAGAAACTAGCCCACACTAGAAAAGTTGACATGAGCCAAGGGAAAGCTTAAAGCTGATGGGTGCAATTTAAGGAGTATCTTTTAACTTACAGACTGCCTTTATAGAGTCTGCATGTTTTGTCAGTGGCCAATGACCTCGTCCTTGTACAGATCCTGTTGTTTTAAGTTCTTACACTTACCTGGGTACAATAGTGGAACAGTAGGAACAACCTACACACACGAACTGACAAGACTGTTGGATCTTCTGCATATCCTTCTGCTTGCTTTGCAGGTGTTGCTGAATATTCAGCCTTAACAGGAAGTGGACACAGATCCCTGCTACTGTTTTGTCTTTTTGTATCACAGAATGTGAAAACAAAGTATTTCTGAAAGAAGATACAAAGTCAGTATCTTTGTCCTGGAAACTATTAATCATCTGTTTTTAAAAAAAAAGTCCTTGCTACCCAGTCTAAAGTGAATAACAAGGAAATAAGTGCTGCAATAAAGTTTACAACCCACAAGAGTTCAAGCAGTAATACCAGCTGAACATTTCCAGACCCATCTGAAAATGACCCATTTTCCAGAAGGTACACAAACCACAACAAAGAGATCTATTCCTTCCATTTGGTGACTAGTCTTCACTACAGTGCATCTGGACAGGGCAAAGACAACTGTGGGATAAAACAATTCTCCTTTTACACTCTGAGGTAAGAGGTGAGATCCTGAAACAGCAGAAAAAGAGAGTACCTCAGCAGGTAACATACCATTCTGGTCCTCCCACCTCCATAGACGTTACTTCAGGAAAAGCGTTGTGGCTTTGGCTTCATGCAAAACTTAAGTTTCAGAATATCTTTGAGAAGAGCGATCCTACATATTTCTGAGATCTGACTGAAAAATTGTGATTTACTTAAAACTATCATAGAAGAAATGATGGTGTTGCTCCTTCTGCTTACTTTCTTCTTATCCAAATAGTTAAAAACTTCTGAAACATATTCCAGCCATTGCTAGGATAAAATGCCTTTCCTGGATTATTACCCACATACATATTACTATCAAACCAAAGACATGACTACTGCTTAGAAAATTTTGTGGAAGCTTTTTAATTTGTGTCCAGAAAATAGTATTAAAGCAGAAAACCTACCCTACCAGTTTTGAGAAAAAGATTAAATTTCTTTTTAGAAGTAGGGGGATGGTACACTCCCTTTCCCTTCCAATACAGCTGGTAATGCCGTGACTTCTATATTCTCCAGAAATACAGAAGACTGGAGTTCAAAATTGCTTTGAATCAAACCAGAACCCTGAACTTTAGGTTACCAGAACCTTCATGGATTTCTAATCTTCTTCCTACTAGAGAGGTGGCCAATCTGATACAAACAGAAGTCTCCTTTCTGCTTCCATGAAACCTTAAATCTTGGTTTCAGCTTACTAAAAAAAATGAACATTGTTGACTATTTCAAGTTTTTAAAGATGGAAAAAATATTTTTTACTCACAGAATATTCAGAGAAATAGTCCTTTAATAAACACAGAACTTGTTGGTGCCATATGCTTCATTATATACTGATTTTTATACGTGAGGAGCAAGCTGACGTCTCCCTAACCACAGAGGGAAGCTGTGACACTTGCTCCTGCTCTACCACGCATTAATTAAGTTAGCACTGGTCACCTGTATGAAAGATAATTAAGCATCTGAATGCCACTGTTGCCACCTTTGATTATAACTACAAAAATTAATACAATGATGGTGACATGATGGCAAATATGTCCATTAAATTCCAAAACATGAGAGGTATTCATAATAATAAATGGCACTTACATATTCCTTCATATAACAATCCCGAAGTACCTGACAAAATGATACAAAACTACCTGTTAAAAGCATCACTTCACCCATCACTGAAACAGACCCCCCAGCAGAAAAAAGGCAACAACCTTCACACACTACAGAACATACTATGTCAGAGGATGTTGAATAATGTATCCAGTATAAAGCATAGGGGAATTCCAGACAAGCAAAACACAATTTTTCAAAAGCAAGGGACCTCTGGCTAAAAATCTGTTTCATTCAAGAGTTATCACAAGCCTTTAGTATACAGAAGACGATATCCTTAACAACAGACACACCTAAAAAACCAATGATACCTGCAAGTTTCTTAGAGATCACATATACAGTCATGTACTTGGTAAGCCAAAAGACGCTCGTCTGAGTTCCTCGCCAATAGGACTTGTATGCTTCAACCTGGGGCTAAGTTCACCACAACAAAAGACCTACTGGAGAGGGGTTGCCAAATGCCCACAGCCACTGTTGGGCACCGACTTGGCTACAGCACTGACGCACACATAGCAGAGGGCACCTGAACTTCCCTCACTTGGAACCAGCACTCCTCTCTGCAGCTCACCAAAGCGGTGCAAGAGGAGAAAGCAGGGCATCTGCTGCAACTGTGTCTTGTAAAGGATAACACACCTCAGGCCAGGGAGAAAATGCATGGTGTATGGATCCCAACAGGGCTCACAGGCAAGTCTGGAGCTTTGCTGCTGAGCCTTGTCAAGCTTAAGCAACGCTGGAAGCATCTTGCAGAGGGCTGCGGATGCTTCCAGATGGAGAGGCAGCTGAAGGCAGGCTTTGAAGGTCCCAGTTTTGGATTGAGGCATTTGTTCCTTCACAGAGCCACCCTCAGGGACTGACGGGAGAGGAGTACCAGAGAGGACACAGTTTCAATATTTAACTTGTTATGACTGTACAAATATTAAATACCAGCACTAATAATAGCAGCATAGCTGCACTCACACAGTGAAGCCCGCCTGAGCTCGGGGGTTACTCTGCTGGTAACTATCATCTGACCCTGTGAAACGCTTTTCCCGAAAGGAGGAGGTGCTCACCACCTCAGGCGCCCGACCTGCCACGGCTAGCCCTGCCGGAGCCCTGCCCGCCCCAGCGCCGCTGCCGCGGTCTCCTCCCCCATCCGGCCACCGCTCCCCCTCTCACGCCAGCGGCCCCGGCTCCGCCTCAGCGCCTTTATCCGCCCGGAGCTGCGGCCCCGAAGCCCCGGTGCCCACACCTGCGGGGCTCGCACCTGCGTTCCCCGCCACGAAGCGGTGGCTGGCCGGCCGGCCGGCCCGCCCCAGGCCGCCTCCACGCTCTCCCCGACTCGGGCCGGGCCGGCAGCGGAAGGGGCGGGAGCAGCTCTTGCCCTCAACTCCGGCGAAGTTTCCCGGCCCGGGCTCTTGTCGGGCCGAGGGCAGTGAGGGCGAGCTCGGGACGGATCTGGGCCGCGGGAAGCCGCGGAGCAGCTCGGCGGGATGAGGCGCGGCCCGCGGCGCCCGCTCGCTCGCTCACCCCGCGGGCAGGACCCTCCGCCGGCAGCACGTCAACCCCGCCGGCCGCAGCAGGGCCCCTCGGCTGGCTGCCCGCCGCTCCCGCCCCGCCCGGGGCGGGACTTCCCCGCCGCGGCCCGGCCCCGGGGACTAGGGCGGGTGGTGGGAGGTGGGGGAGCGGGCCGGGGGCGGCGGCGGCGGGGACTTTGGAGCCCGGGGCGCCCCAGCCGGCTGAGCCAGCGGCGGGGGAGGAGAGCAGCGCCCCGCTGGCTCCCTGCGGGGGGGCACCCGCCCGGCTCGGCGGCCGCGGTGGGCCCCGGCGCTGGGCCCCCTCCCCGCCACCCACGGCTCGTGCTCCCCAGGAGCCCGTTCCCCCGTGGAGCGAGTGCGGCAGTGTTTCGTGTCAGCGTTGGCTCCAACTACAAATAAAAGAGTCGGTGGATGTGAGCACCCTGCCTGTCCTTGCTCGCCCCCCCTGTTTACACAGCACGGAGGATCCACTGAGTCATTTCGGGGGGTTGGGCGATCGCGCCGAATGCTTGGGCTTGCAAGAAGCATATTTTTTTTTTTTCTAATTTGCCCTTGCAATGCAAATAACGGGGAAGGTTGAAGAGGATCTTCCTAGTATCCATAAACAGGATGACAATGACAGGGATACTGGATAAAAACGCAGGTGCAAAGTACAAAATGAAAACAGAGCTGACACCAAGTTCTTACACTTAACACCCACGATCTCAAAAGTGTCTTATTTCCCTGAGGCTCACAGCATCCTGTGTGGTACTATTCCATTTTATAGAAGGGTAAACAGATGCTCACAATGTGACTAGCAAAGGCACAAAGGACGGTGAACTCTTTCAGCCCTCACACAGAGCCAAAGCTGCAGCAAAGCCACCCTGTGCGCTGTGCAGACATGTTACCCAAACCCGGAAAGGGGACCTCAAGCTTTTCTGAGAGAAGTATTTGCTGTTTTCATTGCTATCCGTTCTTCTTTGACTTTTCACTGTCCCTATTCGTACCAGGTTAGGGCCAGCTATGTCCCTGCATCCCACTGAGCAGAACCTCAACCTGCGCTCAGCACTGCAGCACGGTGCCTGCAAATAGATTCTGGTGTGCCTGACTTTAATACAGCTGTTCACTGCCTGGGGGAAATGGATCCTAGTTTTTATTCAGATCCCAGATAATCCTGTGATGCAGAAAGTGAGTGGGCAAAACTGGGAATGAAAGCCAACACATGCTGATGCTCAGGCCTTTTATCATCTATCTTACAGTGAAGGACAAAAGTGGAGGTAGTGGAAGAAAAATGAGGAGGGTGCAGAAGTAAACAACTTTAAGGAGGTAGGAGGTAAGAGAAAGTTGTGCTTTTATGAAAGTGATGGAGAAATAGAATTTTGCCCTTTTTAAAAAAAAAAACAACCAAACAAAAAAAAAGCCACAAAAAAAGCATTGTGGGAATACTTGACCTGAGGGGTAGAGTCCAGAATGACTAGTGATATTGGTATGGGGAGGGCTCGACCTTTAGGATCTCAACTGGAAGGGAAATTACTGCCCAGTAAAGGGAAAGTAAGGATGAAGAAGGGGAAGCAAGTAAATTGATTGGGATCTTTTGAATTAGCAGCCAGTCACCATGTATATGCAGCAGTGATTAGTACAGATAGATGGCTAGAGCTAAGCTGCTGGGATGGTTGCAGTTGTCAGCATCAACTTGTTTTTACGTGCTGCTCATATGAAGTCAAGTGAGTATGGGTCCTGCAAAGATTAAGTGGAGATATGAAAGCCTGTCATTTATAATGCCTTGTATTTCAACATGTTCATATTGCTGGGCAATCAATGCAGGAGAAATTATGTATGAGAGCTATGTTAAAAATAGTCATGCAATGCTTTATGGGACATCATTTGTCACTGGTCATATCAAACCTGTTTTGAAGATTTGTAATGAATTTTACATAAGGCCTGAACTTCTACATCTCTTTTGTGTTTTAAAATATAAAAGCAGTATTAAAACTTGGGTAGGTACAAAGTAAAACCGTATTCAATCTACATTT